GCCCATACCTAACTTCGAAGCTAGTTCTGCTTTGAGCACAGTTTGGACCAGAGGCCTTAGGAGAGATGTCCCTTCCAACCTGAATTACTCTGTGTTTCTCTCCTGCTGCAGATACTAGATGCAGCATTACTTAGCCCTGCAGGTAGTATTAGTGCTTTGGAGCCACTGGGAGAAATGCTGCAGTATTCTCTTACTATGCCATGTTACAGCCATGAAATGCAGAGAGATTGCAGTACTTTGAACTAAAATCATAGGCACAGTGTACTATTCAAATGAATACAGTAGCTAGCTTAATGGGTTTTATTTTAGCACCCAAGCTCTATACTAAAATAGGTGAAAGAACAGAAAAACTTCATTTATTATTTGGCAAACACAGAGACACTAGAGCTGCAAGGAGAATAGCAATGGTTCAGACCTTGTCAGTGACAGGTACAACTAGACCTCTGTCTACACAAATGGGTTGCATGAAAGTAGTGTCATCTGGTTTTATTGGAGTAGCCATGCTGCTGAAGTTCCTGCGTCTGCAAAGGTCTGACTCATGGGCAACCAGTTATTTGCCCACTATGAGGGCAGAAGGAGCGTATAAGGGTGTTATCTCACAGCACTTCATCCTTTAGATACACAAAAGTGATTCTATCTCATATTACTCAGGACTATAGCCAGAAGTGTAGCTTTGCATTTTGTGCTAGTGAAGGAGCCTGAGTGTGTATCCCCTGAACTCCGAAGTCCTCTGTACACAAAATAGGTACAGCAGAAGCAGTGACAGTAGCAGCAGCAATAGGTGTCTGCTTCCAAGCTAATGCAACCACATCATGGCTTTTCACAGTGAGAAGAAAGTGTTTTTCATGTCAGCTCATTGCATCAGTGAGGTCGCGCATTTTGAACACATTTTCCATATTTTATTACACACTGTCTCAGAGTGATGCTGGCAGTTCTGATAAAGCGGAATGGCTTGGATGAGTCAGGGAGGCTGCATGATCTGGGAGCTGTAAATTTAATTCAATCACTGATTACTTTTCCATGCCATTTTGCAGCATGACTTTTTTTTTTTTTTTAATAAGCTTCCTGTGTTGTCAATTTTTATGAAAGTGTGAGGATTTGGGGTGCATTTATTATGGTTTTGAAATGAGGTTACAGAAGCCTCGGTAAAGTGGAGAAGGATAAAGCTGCTAGAAAGCTGTGCTTCACAAAGGACAAAGATATCCTTGTCAACTTCTTAGCTCAAAGTTATTACCTTCTTTCAGAGTAATGTATATGGTGAAGGCTGGAGTTCATTTGTCAAGGCTTCCTACTGTTAATGATATTTTTTCTAGCACCTTTCACTTGATGTTCTCAAAGTACTATGATTAAGTTCAATCACCTTCTTGAAAAGAAGGAAAGGTTAAAAACCCCTTATTTTACACACTAGGTCCAGTGATCTGCCCGATGTCCACCAGCACCTCAGGGCTAGAAACAGATTGTAAACTCCAGCATCTAGACCGTCAGCCTCAGACCCCAGCCCTGGGAATGCACACCTTTTCCCAACCCCTTCTTCCTGCCGCTTCCCTACAGAGATGCTAGTTCAGCTTCTACTTTGCGTAGCTCACTCTTTGTAAAAGGGAAGCTACTAGTTAAGACCCTGCAATACTAGAGGACATTGCAAAGCTCTTTTCTCTTTGGAAATAGCTGTAGAAAATTCTGATATGATACCACCTGGAATATTGCTGTGGAGAAAT